ACTGTCCACCATTCCCTTTGCCGCTTCCACCACCACTTGCCGCTGCCACTTCCACCATCACAGTTTCCACCGCCACCCGCTGCCACCACCTAGCTCACCATGTGTGCCAATGGCCTGTCAATCAGCTGATTGCTGGGCCATAGGAACACAGGGCAAGTTAGGCTGCCATAAGGGAAGCTGCCACCACTGTCTTTGCAAACAGTGGCAGTGGTTTCCCCACCAAAAATTCAACGCTAGCAGCTAGCCTCATCTCAGCCTTTTATAGGCCCTGTGGGTGAGCAAGGCAGTGGCAGCAGCAGAAGCAACAGGGGCAGTGGAAAGGGGGTGGTTCAGTGGGAAGGGGGCAGTGGGACAGTGGGAGGGCAACAAACCAGGACATTCATTGCATCACTCCAAAATTCATTGCTTCGGGAAAGTTTGAGCTCTCTCATTTGGATGAACCCGACCAATTCAAAGCAATGAATTGGCACTTTGAATTTCCTAGTTTGTTTTTAGCTTCATCCCCATCTCTATTTGTAACTTCTATCTGGCAAGTTGCTATTTTAAAGGTAATGATTTTTGTTTTAACTAACAATTTTTGCAAAATGTGTAGAAGCACAGTCCTGTAGCATCAAAGATTTGGAAACCCAGAATTCTTAGAAGACCCAAATATTGTAATACTAAGTACTACACAGAGTGCAAACTATTGGATCTGCATATGTCACCTCCAAGTTGTGACAAAAATACACAGAAAAAGTGCAATGCTGTGGGCTATCTTTTGCAACTCTAGTATTAGCTGACAAAAAAAGAGCAATAGTTTCATAATACTGTGAGCCTCCAGTCTAGAAGCAGCCGGGCTTTTCTCATTAAAATAAAAATGAAACTCTGCATATAGAAAGCTAGGGTGTCAGGAAGAGAAATGAATAAAACAACCCATTCTCCCTAAACCTTTTTTTAGTCATCTGCAGAAAAATGTTTAAGGAGAAAGCAGTCAATATGGAATAAATTCTCTTGCCAGGTTTTGTTAACCATTAAAGTCTTCTCCCATTCATTGCATGTGGACCATGGATGTTAAAACTCCGTCATTAGCACCGGCCTGTCTAACTCCATACTATGTGCACTGGCTAGCAGGAGCTCTCCAGCAAGCTGTGCTACACAGCCCGACTGAGGAATGACCTTGGCCCCCTCCAGCTGGTGAAGTATGCCCTTTACTGCTAAGCAGCAGCACTTCTACCTGAATGGATTACTGCTTGCTAGATCTGAAACAGTACCAACACGTGAAAATGGTAAGTGCAAGAAGAATAAAATATACCAATTTCACCACTTCCCTCAGCCCTCTGAGGGCTCTGAATTCAGCAATCAAAGCACTCATAAAGCTAGAATCCATTTATCTAATTAAGCAAATCACACACCAACATACAGATTTCCAGGGTATATGTCTGCCTAAGATATTATTTGTTATCTCACTTATTCACATTACAGGAACAAACTGGTCCTTCAACTTGTGAGTTTTCTTCTGGAATGTCAAGTACAGAAGGTATAGCACAGATATTAAATTTGCCACTAACAAGCACAATTACTTTACCCAGGCTTCATGCTCTGGAGAGGACACTCCTCGATCCAGAGCATGTTACCATAGTCTCTCGAGACTGAAGGATGCTAAGCACAATTACCACAGCCTAGAAGCAGGGGCTGAATATGGCTTGCTTTAGAAAGCAACACTGGAAGATCCTCAATTTACCTTGCCTTTCATTCTGCTTAGCATCATGAAATTGTTAGGTGACAATTAAATGATGTATATGTGTTACGATGCTTCCATTATGCTTACAATACCCAGCTTTATTATTGCATTACATCAAATTGTCAAATCTCTAGAAGGTGATGGAAATCTTGTACCTGTATCGGACATGGACTGAGTTTGGGCAAACAATCAGAAGCACAATCAGGGCAAGATGTCCTGTGGATCTGGAGTTACGTGTAAAGAGATTCTCTCTTAAGGATCAAGTCAGTAGCTCAGGGTTGTTCTTGGATATTCAAGGACTACACTCCAGGAATACTTTCCCCAGTGTAACCTAGAATGCCAGCCATATCCTTTGTGGGAGAACACTGACCTCACCACTGTCATTCATGCTTCAGAGTCAGAACCGTAGGAGACTACAGCTGGAAGGGAATGTAGAAGTCACTGAGTCCCACCACCTGTCAAAGCAGGACATTCCTGCTTAAAGCATCCCTGATAAATGGTCATCCTACCTCTATTTAAACACATTCAGTGCTAGAGAATCCAACATCCTATGAAGCAGTCCATTCCGTTGCTGAACAGTCCTCTCTATTAGGAAGTTCTTCCTAATGCTGAGCTGAAATCTCCTTTCAAATTCATTATTTCAGGCCCTACCTTCTGGAGTGGAAGAAAACATGGTCACTCTATTTCCCACATGATAGCCCTTCAGATGTCTGAAGGTGGCTTTTGTATCATCTCTCATCCTTCTCTTCAGTAGACTAAACATGCCCAACTCTCTCAACCATTCCTCTTAGGGCTCCATTTCCAAACCCTTTTTCATCCTGATCACTCTCCCGACAATCTCTCAATACCCTTTTAAACTCTGTTGCCCAGAACTGGACACAGTATTCCAGGTGAGGTCTGACCGATTCAGAACAGAGTGGTATTATTACTCCCCTTGATTCCAGTACTATACCTGATGAGGCCTAGTCTCATATTAGGTTTTCTTTTTCCTGCTGTTGCTGGATCAGACTGCTGACTCATGTTTAACCTGTCATTTGCTTCTAGACCCTTTTCACATGTACTAATGTCAAACCATCTCCTGTCCTATATTTGTGCATCTGATTTTTCCTGCCTAAATGCAGAAGTTTACATTGGGTAACTGATATGCTTTATGTGTGGCAGCCTTCAGAGAGTGTGCAGAAATATCTGCTGCCTCAGAGGTCAAAATAGTAAGCAGAATTCACCATGCAGAACAAATAACTCTGGTTTTGTTCCATATTCACTGGCAGTTAGGAAATCAGTATTCCAAATAATGATTCTTTACATTTAAAAATCTGAATAGTCTGGTCCTGAGATAGCTTAGTGACCTTTTTCTCTCATGAGCTTACTGAAGCATTCTGATCAGTGCCTGAGGCTATGTATGGTTCTTGCCATTTGAAGTATAAGAGGTGGGCACATTAAGCAAATCTTTTCAGTATTACTGCAGACATGTTCTCCCAAAAGATACTGACTTAGATCCACCACTTTTGGTGATCATTAAATACCTGATTTGTTTTGTTTTTAAGTTTCTAGAGGGATGAGATAACTGCAACCTGATTACTTGAGACTGCCTGAAAAACTAATTGCTGGTTTAGTTTTTCTTTGCATATTTATTATTTTACTTTTGTATCTTTTACTACTGTTGTTTGTTGTTACGTATTTTTTTTAGATGACAAGGACTACAAACACTCAAAATATGCACATACATAGAATGTTGACACAGAGGTCGGGAGGGGGACCCAGAGGTTTTTCAAAGAGGCACAGCTTCTTGACTGATCAGTTAAACAAATGCAATAAAGCATACACAAACATTAGTGCACACACGAGAGACAAAGGTTTATCAAATCAAGAGCAAATAATCTGATTTTGTATGAGCACAAACTGCTATTGAATTTACATCTTTTGCACTCTGGTACTGAGATCAGGAAAAATTAAGAATTCGATTTCATTTATTTAAAAAAAAATCTGCATACCAAAATGTGCAAAATTCTTAATCAGTGGAGTGGAAAGTACTTGAAGTATTTGAAAAATTAATCTGAGAGAAGACAAATTTGATAGATTCAGCTATCCAAGCAAAAAAGCATTGATAAGTTCTTCAAGACTGGGTTTGAATCATTGTGCATTCAGCTAAGTTAGTGGTGCTGAATAAGGGTTACCACAAGTTTTATCACTTGATTCACTTTGTAGTAGGAAGGAACAACATAGTCCTCTTCACCCTGTAAATAACTATACCTGTTCAATGTGGCCATTGCAGAGAGCTGAGGTGACCATTTTTGGAAAAAAAACAAAAAAAACCTTTTTCTTCTTCTTGTCACAAGAATTTATCAAAATTCACAAATCTCTTATACATGCGACAGAGAACACTTGAGATGTTTAAAGAAAAGGAAGCAAAGCTGACAGATTAGTCCATCCTGAACGGAATCAATGATTTCTGATTTCACTTAAATTGGAATGAAAGATCTCATTTTTTTCATAACCTTCAAGTTTTCCTCAATGTTTTTAGCATATTAGCTCAAATCCTGTTTATGTAAATTCCACAGCATAAGAACCATGACATCATCAGATAGGGCAATTTTGTGAAAATTAAACATTTCCCCCTCAGTCCTGAGCCCCTGTCCCCCAATTTCCTGAGCAATCTCTATCTAAATGTTGAAATCTTCACAGGCAAAGAAGTACTTTCCCCCCTTCTCTTCTGCTATATGGTTGTCTATGAGGTGGTCAAGGTATGGATTCAAATTTTGTTTAGGTCCCATTTCAATCTAAATTTACCGCATCTGTGTTTATCATATACACTCTGTCCAAAAATATTGCTTTTCATGTAAACCTCCCACAATTGTGATCCACTGCATGAATGGAAAAATAACAGTGGAAAAAATGAACATCTGAGAGAAATCAAGAGATGTACGCACCTCAAGATGGAAGTTACATTGGTCAACAAGATGACCAAAAAGGGTCTGAAAGCCCTTGTTTCAGCAGGTTTTCATCTGAACAAACAATACAGCTTGAACATATACTTTATTTTATTTTTACTTCCATTCTGTCATGGTAACCAACAATATACACTTCCATACGGAAATATCTGAAAGTAGAAGCTTCCATTGCTATGGTATCTGTAACAAAGCAGCAAACGGGACTGAAAGCTTTGGATGTGTCCATCCCCTTATGGCTGCTGCCCATATTTCCCCATTACCCATTTCCAACCCACTCTGGCCTCCTCAGGCTTCTGCTATGGGTAGTGTACTTTTCTACTAGCCACACTTACATGACCATGTAGATCAGTGTTGAGCAGCATAAGAGCACAGGTGAGTGTATGAATTCCATCTGGAAGACACAAGAAATTTAACATGCATATAAATCAGGGGTGGCTGAATAGTTGCCCACAGAGTGCATGCAACTACTCAAGGGCCCAAAAGTGCCTCAAAATGCCCATTCGTCCCAGAACTCCAAATATTTTTTTCTGAAAATGTCCATGTGGAGTGGCCCCAGCACCTGTAATTTAAAACCCCAACTCCTCTAACTTAAAAAAGAAAACAAAACCTTCCTGCCACTGGAGGGCACAAGACAGCTTCTTCAATTTTTAAAAAATGTAAATGGGAGGCCTAGGTGCAGTCATCCAAGGTCAGGGGTGTGTGTTTGGGTGTGCAGCCCTTGAACCTCTGGAATTTGTCTATCCTGTTCCAAATGATGCAAACAAAATGGTCCAAATGACTGTTCATGACTGGGGGGGATCTAAAACAGGCTAAGGGAATCCAGGCTCCCCTTTGCAAAGGGTAGCCAGTCTCCTTTTTTTACATGCATGGCTGCAAGGCCAGAAGACCTTGGCAGTAGCGATTAAGGTAAGAGGATGTCGGTGGGGGTGGCATGGGGACTAAGGTAGGGAAAAGAACGGGTGGGGTAGGCTGTGCTATTGGGTGGCTGTGTGGGGTGGTGGCCGCCTTTCTGCCACAGATCAGCTGATCGGCAGCCAGTAGGCAGAATGTTTTTTGTTTTTGTTTTTTTAATACGAAGGACGAATAAAAACAGGTAAATATTCATCCCTTCACATTCATTGGGGGGTCTCTGGAATCCACAAATACAGATTGATGAATATTTAACAAATTGGCTATATTCATTGGAAAAAAATCCATTTTTATATTGGTCCCCATCTCTAGTTGGGAACATAAAAATATTTAACAAATTGGCTATATTCATTGGGAAAAAAATCCATTTTTATATTGGTACCCATCTCTAGTTGGGAACATAAGATGGCATTACCTTCAGATGTGCTCTCTTCTGGATTGCAGTGACAGTATCTTCTTGAGAAGTGGATGAGAACACGTTCCCGTTCCTGTGTTTCTCCCATCAAGGGGAAAGCTTTTAAAAATGTTCTGGGCATAGAAAGTAATCATTAAGCAAGTGAACAAACAAACAAGGGAAGTTACTGTTACATAATTGGGGCAAAACTGACTTATAATAATAAAACATGGGTATGCATAAGACTCCTTCTCTGGGGTTTCTGAATTAGAATTCAAAGCTGATTATGTAGGACTCATCAAAATTATGACCCATTGCTGTAGCAGGGAGGGCCAGTGACTATGCAGGATGCCCCACAAAGCATGGATGAGTCACAGACCCAAGCTTCAGGAACAGGTTTAATTCTAAGGATAGGTAGCAAATACTCCATTGTTCTGGGCATCCAGTTTTCTTAAAGAAATCCTTGTGCTACCAAATGTTTGAAGGAACCCAGCCAAATTGTGTCCTGTCCCAATATGGTACTGTTTCTTTTGTTCTCTAACTAAACTAAACTTTGTGTCCTGTCCCAATATGGTACTGTTTCCTTTGTTCTCTAACTAAACTTTTCATTACTATTCAGTACACCCTGCAGCCTCTGTCTAACTAAACTAAACTAAACGGAGAGTGCTTGTAGCGCTATGGGGCGGTATATAAATCCAATAAATAAATAAATAAATAAAATAAACTTTTCATTGCTATTCAGTACACCCTGCAGCCTCTAGTTTCATGAATGCCAGAGACATTTGAACTTTACTAGGGACAACAAGCACAACTTCTCCCATGACTTTCCAGTTGGCATGCCTGATTAACTGTAACTATTTTACTTTATTTCTCAGCTCCTCATTCTGAAAACTGTTAAAGGCAAGAAGCCTCCATCAAAACAGTATAAAACTCTGATTTGGCTAACCTGAAACCCAGGAAGGAACTGGAACTCTGTGCTTCAGCACATGCTTTGCATGCAGAACATCTTACGTTCAGTCCTTAGTATCTCTAGTTAAAGTTTCAGGCAGAAGGTGATGGGCAAGTCTTCTGCTTGGGGACTTAGAAAACAACTGACAGACACAGACTTAATAATAAACTAGACAGATTATTTTAAAAACTGACATCAAATAACCAGCTGCTCATATGTCTATGACACATAAAAGATTCTAGAAAATGTTTAAATATGTATTTTAGTTACAAAGTACAGTGGTGCCTTGAGTTGTGAACTTAATTCGTTATGGGATTATGTTGTAATTCAAGTTGGTTGTAACTCAAAGCACCATTTCCGATAGGAATACATTGAAACACGATTAATCTGTTCTGGCTGTTTTTAAAGAAAAGGGCAGGAAAGAGGGAGGGATGGAACAATGAGGAAAAGAGGAAAGAAAGATGGTCATTACTGGGGTACACAGACCCCTCAGACAAAGGTTTGTGCTTTTAGGCACAAAAAGAGAGAAGACAGAGGGAAGACAATGGGGAGGGGAGAGTTTGGAGCCTAAAACAAACAAAAAAACCCCATTCCAGCAGGGACTAAAAATGCTACACTGCAAGACCTATCAAAGCACAGAAACATAACCTCCCCCCAGAATCACACAAATCCGTTCCAGCAGTACCAGGCAGTTCAAAGCCTCTCTCAGAATGCACACTCTCTACCTGCTGGGGCTAAGGAGCTACAAAGAAGCAGCCTCTTCGCCAACCAACAGTTAGCAGTTTAAATTCCCCATCTTTTCCCCCACCTTTTTTCTGATCGTATCTCAAAGCTCCGGTCGCAAGTCAAACCGAAATTTTGTGACCAGAGCTGGTTGTGTCGCAAGTCTGGACGGTCGTAGGTTGAGGCACCACTGTAATGCAAAAGCAGTTCATCCATCCACTAGGGGGATACTTTTTAAAAAAACTTAAGATGACCTTTAAGGTCAAAAAAGGGCAGGAAAGGAGGGAGGGAGGGAACAATGGGGAAAAGAGGCCTTTTTTCCAGTTGTATCTCAAAGCACTGGTTGCAAGTCAAACCAAAATGTTGCTACCGGAGCTGGTTGTAACTCAAATTGGTTGCAAGTCAAGATGGTTGTAAGTCAAGGCACCACTGTACCAAGTTGTCGGTCTTCATGCCCTGCTGCCTTGGTCGGTTGCACTGACCATATAATTAAGGACCCTTGGTGGATCTTGGTGACAGTAATGGAACATGTGATAGGAGATGTATCCAAAGTAGATTGGAGCCAAGTTCTTTGAGGCTTTATAAATGACTATCATAAGCTGATCTCCAGTATGTTGAGTTGTATCTGGAGAATAGGGAGTCAGCCCCCTTTGTTATGCTTCCACAGCAATGTGTTGCTCTTATATGGAAGGTGGTTGCACTGTGACTATCAGAAGTATCTCAGCAACTTCAGTGACAAGTCAACATGGCAGTTTAAATTTTGGTACAGATCTAACATTGAAAAAGTGACCACCTTGTAGCAAAATTCTCATTCCCCATTTCAGTCGATCGATATATGGTCATATTAGATGATGTCTAAAAATATCATTTTGTTTCAAACACATAAGAGAGGATGTAACAAAAGGAGGTGAATATAAGTGGAACATGTGGAACATGGTAGAGCAGTTTGATCCAGAAAAGAAGGACCAAACCATTTGTGACACTCAGTTCCACATTTAGAAGCAAAGCTTCCTGACTAGCAAAACTTTGCTTAGATCAGTGCAAGATTTTATCCTCTCCCCATTTTACAAGCTGGCTTCCCTTTTATTGTGATTGGACATCAGAAAGTGGACAAAGACTTAATTTGCAAGTTGGCTTGCTCTGAGGAATCCCATAACTGGATGCCAAACCATGCTGTATGAGCTCCGACTTTCATTTAGAAGCAAAGCTTCCTGACTAGCAAAACTTTGCTTAGATCAGTGCAAGATTTTATCCTCTCCCCATTTTACAAGCTGGCTTCCCTTTTATTGTGATTGGACATCAGAAAGTGGACAAAGACTTAATTTGCAAGTTGGCTTGCTCTGAGGAATCCCATAACTGGATGTCAAACCATGCTGTGTGAGCTCTGACTTTCATGTACAGTGGTGCCTTGCAAGATGATTGCCTCGCGAGACGTTTAATCCGCAAGACAATGGTTTTTTGTGATCGCTGTTGTGCTTCGCAAGACGGTTTTTCCTATGGATGATTTTTGCAAGACGATGTTTGGGTCTATGCTTTGCAAGACTTTTTTTTTTAAGACTGATGTTTCTCAAGATGGTTTCCGCCCCATTGGAACGCATTAAATAGATTTCAATGCATTCCAATGGGGAACCACATTTCACAAGATGATGTTTTCGCAAGACAGTGATTTTCGCAGAATGAATTAACATCGTCTTGCGAGGCACCACTGTAGTTTCATCTTCAGCCAAGACTGCAATTGGTGGGATACTTTTAATAAAACTGAGGATGTGGTTAGATGGGAGAATTTGGAGCAACTCGGCTCATGTTTAAAAAGCTCTTATCTTTAGTGTGATCTGTTTTAACTTGCACTTGAGCAGTCCTCAATTCACATGAGAGACAGTACTTCATATCACTCCAATATCTCCCCCTTTTGATTACTGATGACCCTTCCCCCACTCCTTTCCCCACCTTTTGTCATGACTATCATTCCACAGGCCATGAGTTTCTTTTTTGTTGTTTAATTTAGTGCATGTCATAGTGCTACAGCAATACATTAACACTCCCTTATATCTGTCACAGCACTGCATCACTTAGAAGAATATTTTCTTTTTAAAAATGTGTTAATAAGAAACACAATCTCCACAATACTTCCATCACAACCCACTGTGTACATCACAAAGTTGTCACAGCTTTATTTGGAAGCAACTTAAGCAACTAAACAAGACTGCAGAACGAGACAATCAGGAGTGCTCTCAATCACAGAAGAGGCAGGATGGATGCTCTTATTTAAAAAGAAAAACACGTGGGTACCAGAAAATAAAGTGAACCAAATCCCACCAAAAATGAACCAAATAGTGAGCTATATCCTCATCTGATCAACCCTAAGAGACTGAAATAGAAGGCTTAACTGAGTATTAGGGACTGGCATATACAATGAAACCAGATGGCTTGAAAAAATGCTGCTACAGGAAGAGGCAGCTTCCATTAAGCAAACCATTCAGAGGGAAGGGACCCCCCCCTCCCAATCAGCAACTTTCGACTCAGCCCTCTCCACAGCTACGTATATTTCAGTCCATGGCAATTCAGACATGTGCTTGGGGAAGCAAACCTGCATTGGACTGATACTGTATATATAGTCCATGGCAATTCAGACATGTGCTTGGGAAAGCAAACCTGCATTGGACTGATATATAGCAAGATGGCCATGAAAGGTGGCATATTCTCTCCTTTACTACTTCTCCAAGAGAAATAACTCCACTACCACTATTGCTCCATTCCCTCTGTCACCCCTTCTCTGAAGGATTTTGGCATGGCCATGCACCTGTATGCATTATTTGGCCCTGAAAACTTTCCAAGAGAACAGTGGGATTGTGTAGATGAGGCTAGAGAGCCACATAATAGTCCTTCCAATGAGATAACATCTGGGCAACAGCTGGGATCTCTGCTGAACCTATAGGCATTTTAGGTTTTATCCTCCTCAGTAACGAACACAAAAAGGCACCCTCCTCACAAGCAAGCAATGCTAGCATCAAATCCCTTAGATGATGAAGTAATTTTTCCCCAGTTACAAAGATTAACCCTTCTCTGTCTGGTAAGGTAGTACTTATTTATTATCTATTTAAAATATTTTACCCCATCCAAGGTGGCTTACAACAATTAAAGGACAAGATTTAAAAGCTAAAAACAGTGAATATACAAAGATTAAAAAATAATTAAATGGGTATTATATTAAAAATGGTCACAAAAATCAATGCTAAAAAAACATTTAAAAACAAGGGAGCACAACAATCCATTCAGACCACACTCCTTTGTTAGTTTGATGGCAGTGATTATCAATAAGCTTACCTAAAGGAGGATGTAAAGGAAGTAAATGAGCATAAGAAGGATTCTTTAAACAATAAAAATAAAAAGAGAGATGGTGGATCCCAAACTGAGCAGAGATATGCACATAGGTGAAAGAGTTTGACTGAATTCCGGAAACATGCAAATTGATGGCAACCAGAGAAATCAAACATGCATTTAAGATCCTTGAATTACAGCTCACCTGAGTGCTTTATCTAAGGTCAGCCCAGTGAAGTCGAAAAAACGGAGATATTCTTCTGCTACCAGTTTGCTAAATTCATTGCTGTAATTAAAGAGGTCACTATCAGTTGACTTTTGCAAACTCTTCCCCATAGAACCCCATTTGGGAGTCTTTTGAAAATGAGTTGGTGCTCATGCGTAAGATGCAGGAGACAATCATGGCCACCTTGGAGAGTGGTCTGGCCAAATTTCAACATTTCTTCAAGTTTCCTTGATTTCAACCATGGAGTTACTGTACATCCTCCTGGGTCTAAAGAGTGCTTGACATTCACACCCACATGTCTTGGTGACAGAGACATATAGGCAAGCATCCTTATTTTTGTTGTCTGACTAAGCAATCCTTCCTTCCTTTCATGTCTGATAATCAAACTATGCTTCATTTAAATCTTGGGTGGGGTAGGGTGTCATAATATATTACTCTCATAGGTCTGCTGTGACAATTTGCTTTAATTTCCAGATAAAAACATTCACATTTCAGCCAGTTTGGGTGTTTTATGAAAATTTTGAGAATATTGATTCTTGGAAAGCTAAGGGCCTCCCACCTCTTTTCTCGATCCTTGGCCACCCAAGGAAGGTCTGTCAATGCAGGGCTTGGGATTGGCTTTCTTTGTACAGTATTACCTGTACTTCAAATGCTTATATCCTAAGCTCATAGAAAGGAAGAGTGCCAATTTTATTTAAGGAGACAGTGACTGGACTCCTTTCTGAAGCCTGGATGTAATGGTTTATGGTAAGTACCATACAATATGTTAGGAACCTTCTGTACTTTGAGTAAGGTTTTAGACTGGAAGGTGATCTAATCATTCCAGATTCTTGACTCCTTGCTGATTATGGAAGAGCACGAGTGGGAGCAGTAACAACAGCTATGGTTGCTATATCAGTAGCAACTATCCCTAGGGAAAGTGGATTTTTGATATATTCTTTGCATATGTCTACTGGTATTGATTTAGTGTAATAAAGTTTTTAGTATTTGAGAAAAATCTTAACTTATTGCAAGAAAACATTTCTTTGTAAGGCAGATCTTTTTTTACAACTGTGGACATTCCCCAAGAGTTTTGCTTTATTTGTCGTCTGCTAATAAATGACGTGGTGGCGCTGTGGGCTAAACCACAGAAGCCTGTGCTGCAGGGTCAGAAGACCAAGCAGTCGTAAGATCAAATCCATGCGACGGTGTGAGCGCCCGTCACTAGCCCCAGCTCCTGCCAACCTAGCGGTTCGAAAGCATGCAAATGCTGCAAGAAAACATTTCTTTGTAAGGCAGATTTTTTTTTTACAACTGTGGACATTCCCCAGGAGTTTTGCTTTATTTGTCATCTGCTAATAAATGACAGAAATGGGAAAAAAAATGGCCCACTCCTTCCAATGCTGCATCTGTATGAATGAGCCAAGAAAGCAAAGAAGTGAGTATATTGTGACATGTGCATTCTATGTCCTGATCCGATATATTTTGAATAGGCATCTGCACTCCAACCAGAGTGTACAATTTTAAAAAAACCACAAATATTTGGATTTTTTGAAAAAAAATAATGCCACTGGCCATGTGACCGCGGAAGATTATCTTTGGACAAACGCTGGCTCTATGGCTTGGAAACGGGGATGAGCACCGCCCCCTAGAGTCGAAAACAACTGGACAAAAATTGTCAAGGGGAACCTTTACCTTTACCTAATAAATGACAGAAATGGGAATAAAAATGGGCCGCTCCTTCCAATGCTGCATCTGTATGAATGAGCCAAGAAAGCAAAGAAGTGAGTATATTGTGACATGTGCATTCTATGTCCTGATCCGATATATTTCAAATAGGCATCTGAACTCCAACCAGAGTGTACAATTTTTTAAAAAACCACAAATATTTGGATTTTTTTTTAAAAAAAATAATGACATATAAATAATACCATATAAATTCCTTTGCATTTTTTTTTCTATCATCTTTCTAACAGAATACAAATCCAGAAATGTAATTTGTTGGGGAGTGGAGGGATGAGATGGCAGCTTCCAACATCATCTGGTAAACCACACTGACCATTCAAAATCCCAAGTACTGGGAGAAATTCAGCGTGAGAGAATTTCACTGCATGTCGAAAGTTGATAACTTGTCAGGGCAGAGCTGATTGGCGCTCAGCATTTCTGTGGTTCAAGGTGAACAAAGGACCTTCTTTTCTAACCATGCCATGCAGAAAGGAAACGAATTGCTCATGGAAGCAGAAATTGCTCTATCCCCCCATGGATATTTTGGAGCCTCTTGTACCAAGTGGTAAGAAAGAGAGACCTCTTGTCGCCAGGAAGGTATATGCTGCAATTGCCCTGCTATAATTTCTACACAAGACAAATAAGCCACTCTTTCCAAAGAATAGATGCAGATGTCAGGTTATGTTCTCCACATTTCTAGGAAACTCTTGTGGCTTGGCACACATACCAGAGAGTCAGGGTGGTATAGCGGTTAGCATATTGAATTGGGATTTGGAGGATCTGTGTTCAGATCTTCACTTGGCTGTGAGACTCACTGGGTGGCCTTGGGCCAGTCACTCTGCCTCAGCCTGAGGTATCTCACAGAGCTGTTGCATGGATACAGTGGGGAGGAGGAGAGCCATGCACTCCGATCTGAGCTCTTAAAGGAAAGGCATGATGTATAAATGTACTCAACATCTAAGGTAACCCCTATCCTTCCTCTTCTCCACCGGGGCCCACCCCCTCTGTCTTTGCTCCCATTTCTCTTTGTCTGCATTTGCTGGATTTGGTCCTGGGAGAGGCAGAATGAGCAGCACTGCTTTAGAGTTTTCTGTGCCTTGGTTTGCTTTCCAGTTTCCAGTAAACTTCAAAGTAACATAACAACAGGAAGGCATTAGCAGGAAAAGAAAATGCTGTCACTTACAAGATCAGTTTCCCCTTCACTCCATGCCATTTTCTGCAAATGAGGCCAATGTGCCTTTAGGGAGTGAAAGATAGAGCTATTTTCATACTGTTTGGGGATCTGGGGCTTTAAATCAGTAGCTGTCCCTTTCTTTGCAGAGCAAATGTTCTATACTATATGGGTTTGTAAAACCATCACTTATAGTTTCAGGGCTTTTTAATCCAACTAAGATACTTACATAAAATGCACATTGGATTAAATACACATTATACGGTGCCCTAGCAGCTGGAACCTGGCTAGGGGGCTTCCAGATGGAGCATTTGTACCATCCTTTTCTGCCCCACCCTTGGTTTCAAAGAAAGTGTCAGATTTATTGTGATTCCCACTCAAACTGTTGTGTTTCTGTTGCACCGCTTCAATGCGAAGTGCTTCAGCTGGGGTGGCTGGCTTTTTGCAGAGAAAACTGAAAGAAAAGAGGTGTGGTAATAGCTATGCTTTGATCACTGCAAACATTTCCAAAATGAGGAGAAGGGAAAGAGGATGAGGCAGCGATGGCATCCGTGGACAGAATGCTGGACTAAATGGACCTTGGGTCTGATCTTTTTGTATATCCTTTTGCCTTTGAAAGCAAATGCTTGGTTACCTTAACTTTCTTCTGACTGCAGGTCATGGTCTAAGCAAAGGAGCATTTAACCCATCATCATTTCGGAGTGTTGCACCCTTCCTCCCTTTGGACCATGAACTTCCCATTTGTTTCCCTTCCAAGAAGCCACAAAATGAGTGAACAGTATTGGCAGTTCTTGCTAGTTAGTCTTTCAGAACAATTTCCATGTACAAAAATAGCCAACTTTTGCCTGAGTAACAGGATATCATGGATGTAAACTGCACATTTTGTTGTTCTTACGTGCTGTCAAGTCACCTCCAACGTATGGTGACATTATGAAGGAGTGCTATCCAAAATGTCTTGTCCTCAACAGCCCTGCTCAGCTCTTTTAAACTTAAACCTGTGACTTCCTTTTTGTTGTTGTTTAGTCATTAAGTCGTGTCCAACTCTTCGTGACCCCATGGACCAGAGCACACCAGGCCCTTCTATCTTCCACAGCCTCCCAGAGTTTGGTCAAATTCATGTTGGCAGTTTCGATGACACTGCCCAACCATCTCGTCCTCTGT